ACATGGGGTTTCTTGGGTAGTATGCAGTGGGTCATGGGTGTGACAGTGTCCTGAGAGATGTCTGCCCCACCATAGGCCTCACCGCCCTTACTCTGCCCCCATGGCCGGACCCGGGATCTGGATGCAGTGCTAGCAGTGATGGAGGGTGCTCGGGAGTTCATCTACGTCTCAGTGATGGAGTACTTCCCCACCACACGCTTCACCCGCCCTGCCAGGTGAGGTGGGTGAGGTCTACACAGCTGGTGGGCACAGTTCCCCTTCGGGACCCCTGCTCATCCTGCTGTTTATAGGCAGAACAGAGATCCCTTTTCACTAGGTACTGGCCCGTGCTAGACAATGCACTGCGGGCAGCAGCCTTCAACAGGGGTGTGCGTGTGCGCCTACTGGTCAGCTGCTGGTCCAACACGGACCCCACCATGTTTCCTTATCTGAGGTCCCTGCAGTCCCTCAGCAACCCCTCGGCTGGCATCTCGGTGGATGTGGTAAGGAGCCCACTGGGTGGGCTGGGGAACAGGATGCCCTTCCCCCACCTAGCCTGACACAGCTCCTGTTCTTGGAAGAAAATCTTCATTGTGCCCATGGGCAATCACTCCAACATCCCATTCAGTCGGGTGAACCACAGCAAGTTCATGGTCACGGACAAGACAGCCTACATTGGTGAGTGGCTGGGAGGAGGTGCCTGGGGAGAGCAGAGAGCTGCCAAAGGGGGTCAGGGCCTGGAATGTTCTAGGGACCAGGCAACCAGCCCAGCTTGTCAGGTGAACTCCGAAACACTAGGGCCCAGAAGGCTGGTGAAGACCCATTTGTGCCCATGTGGGAGCTGTCATGGCCGGAGTCTGATGACAGGAAAGCGGCCAGCATTCCAACCTGTCCCCCAGCCTATGCCAGGCCACGGCGCAGGCGGAGCTGCAGGGGACACGGGCCCAGGGACCAGCGTCTCTTTTCTTTGCTCGTTCCCAGGTACTTCCAACTGGTCAGAGGATTACTACAGCAGCACTTCTGGCGTGGGCCTGGCGGTCAGTCAGAAGGCCCCTGGTGCCCAGCAGGGCAAGGTACCTGTGCAGGAGCAGCTTCGGAGACTCTTCGAGCGTGACTGGAGTTCCCGCTATGCTGTGGGCCTGGACGGACAAGCTCCTGGCCAGAACTGTGTTTGGCAGGCCTGAGGCCCGGTCCCTTTGGCTCTGGCGCCCACTGCTCTAGGTGGACATAGATGCCCACTAGGCTTCCACCAGCTCAAGCTCTGAAACTGAGTGAGCAAAAGCACATCATGCTGGGCCTGGTTCTGTAATCTGGTCCACACGGCTCTCAGTGAGAACCAGACTGCGCTTGACTTTTAAATGGAGAGGGGAAGGATGACCTTCAGTGATGTGGAAAGAAGGAAAGAAACCATCACCCAGCTGTCCGTCTCTGGCCCACCTACAATGGGTTGCTAGGGCCATCCCCAGCTGTAAAGTTAGTGCAGCCCGGCTACAACCCAGTAAAACTGATGATACAGGCCTGACTCAGGTCACAAGTTGGCATTCTTGTGTTTTCCCTCCCTCCCTCCCTCCCGCTCTGTCCCTCCCTCCCCCTCC